CGCCCGCCCCGCCCCGCCCCGCCCCCCTGCGGCCGCGCAGGCGTGTCGCGTCAGCGGGAGGTGTACCTCCTGGCCGCCAATTTCCTGCAGTCCGCGGACTGGCGGTCCAACCCTGAAGTCCTGAAGCAGATGGTGGCCTTCTACACAAAGGCGGGCGCCCATGACAGCCTGGCGGCGTTCTACGAGCGCTGCGCGGCCGCGGAGGTCGAGGGGCGGCGGGACTACCCAAAGGCGCTGCAGGCGCGTCCGATCCGCGGCCGCGGGCGAGTGTGTGTGCGCGTCGGGTCGTCAACGCGGGGGGTTACGTTTTGCAGGTTTTGGTCTCCGATTTAGATGGAAGGGCTCTGCTTGTCCCCTTTCAACGGCCGTCCGCCTGTGTTGACTGCCAGCGTGCTGCCTCGCGCATCCGAAGCGAGCCCGCCCCGGCCCGGTTTCCCCGCGGCTGCCGGGGGGCTGGTGAGTTGAGCAGGGTTGGTGGCAGCAGCTGAGTTCAGCCAAGCCCCGCCACCCTACAGATGCCTCTGTGCCCCCCACCCTTGCAGGCGCTGGAGGAGGCGGCCCGCCAGCTGGCAAAGAGCCGCGCCCCGGACTTGCAGGAGCGCCAGGCAGACCTGGAGGCGCGCGCGGCGGGGATCCGGTCTTTCCTCTCGGCGCGCGGCCTGCTGGCCATGGACCCCGCCGCAGCGGTCGGCACCTGCCAGCAGCTGCTCTCCGCAGACCCAGGCGGCGGCGGCGGCGGCGCAGGGGCGGGGTCGGGGGCGTCGGCGGCGGGGCCGGGGGGCGGCGCGCGGGTGCGGGCGGGGGACGTGCTGGGTATGCTGGTGGAGTGGTGCGTGGCGCAGGGCAACGCGCCGCAGGCGCTGCAGCTGCTGCAGCAGATGGTTTCGCGGGGCCTCGTGCCGGAGAGGTTCTTGGCGCCGGATGTCGTAGCCGGGGTTTACGCGGAGATGGGGGTGGAGCAGCCGCTGCCGCCCCAACAGCAGCAGCAGCAGCAGCAGCAGCAGCAGCAGCAGCAGCAGCAGCAGCAGCAGCAGGGCAGCTTGAGCGGCGAAGTGGAGGAGGAGGTGGCTGAGGAGGACCTGCCCTTCATGGGGGATGCGGCGGAGGATTGAGCCGCATCGATGTCAGATCGCTGTGCTAACCGCTGCAGATGTGTGAAGTACGCTGTCCCAACAACGCGGCAAGCGGTTTCCGGCCTCTTTTGTTGGGTAATGTAAGCAACAAATTGTACTGGACGGTGTTGACAAAACATAACAACGCCTTGTAATTCTGCTCTGCCTTAGCAGCGGCGACTCAAGCGTGCGTGCGTGTGTCAGCATTACGTCACTGCGCCGCCCGTCGCCCTGCCGGTGCCTTAGCGACACAACAACTCAATAGTAAATCGTATGCGTTGTTCCGCAGCTGCGATCGACGTTACCCAGTTGAATCGTCTCTATCCAGCTCGAATTCACCGCGAGACCTCTCGAAGCCATGAGTGGGATCCTCACCAGGCCGCTGCAGCGGGGCCAATGCGGTGCTGCCTCACAGCAGCTGCGCAGCACCCCTTCTCGCTCCCTGTTCCGCCCGGTCGCCGCCCTCGGCGCCCGCAGCGCCCCTGGCGCCCCCCAGCGCCGCGGCCCCGCTCCGCCCCCACGCCGCGGCGCCTCGGCCGCCGTCCGCTACCGCAACGGCGACAAAGATGCTATCGATGCCATAGAGAAGGAAGCCGATGCGGTGGCAGAGGACATGCTGATCCGCGAGACGGGCAAAGGTGCGGGGCGGCGTCACTCCCTCGGCCCATGCCGCCGGTGCCCCTGCCAAGCGGCACATTGGTGCCGCGGGCCCCTCGTCACCCCCATCGATCGCGTCCGCTGCTCAGGGACCATTTGCCGGACCTTAATGCCCGCCCGTGGCCCTTGCAACGCTCCCCGCGCACGTCCCTGCCTCGTGCCGGCGCCGGCCCCCTCGCACACCCCTTTTTCCTCCGGCGCCCCGACACCGCCTAATCAACTGCCGCCCAACCCCCGCACCGCCGTCCCCAGATCTCGTGCCTGTTGAAATCATCCTGGGCCACCACTGCGAGTGGGGGCAGCGCTTTGCGATCGTCGGCGACTGCGAGGCGCTGGGCTCCTGGGACGTCGCGCGGGCTGCGCCGCTGCAGGTGCGCGGGTACCGCGCGTTTTCGCGCACTTCAGTCGGAGAACGGGGTCATGGTTTGATGTTGCTGCTAAGGGCTTGCACTCACACACTTGCTAGCCCCTTAATCCTCCTTGTGCCACAATAGGAGGGAACTCCGATCGATTGATTCAAGTTTGGTCCCTGTGTTCACCAAATCTAACCAGCCAAAACCCGCCACCACGCGCACCCAGCACACCTTGACTTCACTTCCGTTCCCGACTCCCCGCCACCCGTGCCCCGCCCACACACCCAAAATGCAAAACATAGTGGCACGACGGCGGCTCCGACGGCGACCTGTGGAGCGCGGTCGTGCCGCTGCCCCCCAACCACCCCGTGGCCTTCAAGCCCGTCGTCGTGTCGGACGCAGACGGCTCCTGCATAGCCTGGTGCGCTCGAGGTTGTGAAAGCGCACCACTCCGCGCGTACCGACGCGCCTTTCACATACTCAGCCGGGCCCCCGATCTGTTGCAGAACGAGGTGGGGGCACCCGCCATCAACAGTCCAGCTCGCGGGCATCCTCTGCCCGGTTTGAGACTGCCGGTGGCAGACGCCCCCGCTCACTAAGCATATACAACGCGGTCCCCTTCGTCGCCCAACCGCCCTTGCGCACGCCATCTGCCTCGCCCCGCTCGTGGTGCTGTTGTTTGCACGTCAGCAAGAGAATGCTTGAGAGGCCGCTGCAGCAACACAACCCGGTGCCTGCACGACTTCAGCCGTCTCGACTGGCCCCCGCGGATCCGAGTCACTCAGCAGCCAACCATCCCAACTGGCTCAGCATGCCGCTCAAGCGCAAGCAGCCCGCCGTCACGCGTAAGTGTCACCCAAACGCCGCCCCGACGCCCGCCGTCTCAGCCTCCTGCCCCCACACACCGTGATCATCCCCCAGGGCTGACGACGTCACCGGGGGTGCGGGCCGCAACATGACTGTCACCGTGACTGAGGGCGCGGAGGGCGAGGCTGGGGCCCACGTGGAGCTGCTGCCAGAGACTTCAGGCGAGGCTTTGTCGGTGACATTTGGGGTGAAAGCTCTGGAGACTGTACCTGCGTTTTGAGTGGGGCTGGGGTCATCAGGCGAGAGTCGAAATCAGAGGTGCTGGTAGGAGATATGCTCCGCTGCCCACATTGACGCTGTGTTTGTGGGGCCGCAGGGACTCCCAGAGCTGTCTGCAGCCGTTGCGTTTGTGCGGCGCGATCTGCCCAATAATGAAAGCCGCACGCGCGCGCAC